GTTTTTTTTTCTTCTGTGATTCGCACTATGCGTATTACTGATTTGGCAGTAATTGTTTTGGTCGGAAGTCAGACGGAGAACGAGAATGCAAAAAATTAAGCCCGAGATTTAGGAATGAAAGTCTTAATGGTGTTTAACCTTTTTTCTGTGGCCAAAATATAAATCCAATTGTTCATTGTTACATTATTCCTTCACAGAGTTTCAGCCGCACTAGCCCAACTGAAGTGTTCCTGTACAAGGTGTTAGTTGGAGATGAGATCGAGCTGGTCGCCATGAAGAAACCTTACAAGCAGAAGCATTTATCTTCCGACGTAAGTTTCCTCTTATTATTATTGTAGTTCTCGCTACAGGTTAATATAACCAGTGATCGGAATTCAGGAAGTTAATTTATAAAATTACTTTTTTTACTGTTTTTAACCGACTTCAAAAAAGGCGGAGGTTCTCAATTAGACTGTATGTGTTTTTTTGTATGTATGTTAAGCGATAACTCCGGTATTTGTGAACCGATTTTCATGATTCTTTTTTTGTTGGAAAGAGGGTACCTCCATAGTGGTCCCATTTAATTTTGAAGTAGATCATCCACCTCTAAGGGTGGCTGTTCACGCATGAAGATTCATTTTTATAAATAGCGCCTAAATTTTATTGTAAGGAGCAATTATTTTAATGGTTGATTTTGCTATTCTCCAATTCTATGCGTAATTCTCTCTCAATATACTTTGAGTAATGAGAACCGATTTTCATTATCTCCTGTGTCAAGTCCCGTATAGTGGCGAACTAGGGGATGAATCCGGGTTTGCGCACTTTCCGGTAACCGATTCCAATAAAACTTGGTAATTATATGTAATTCCACGTACTTTTGAAGTCGGTTTTTTTACATTTATTTATTTTACATACGTAAGCTTGCAACTATTATGCAATAGTGTAGCCAAAATTATCACATGTTCAACATTATTTACAAACATTAATATTATATTAAAAAATTCTATTGTATCTACTAAAATTATATTATAGGTACCATATTACATTACAAACTGATATTATATTCCATAACATATTACAAATATAGCTGTTTTTTTGAACTCACACAGAAAGCAGGCAAATAGGTCAATTTTCCACTCAATAACGCTCATAGTCCACATCGCTCGTGTCAGTGGTGCCCTGTCCAGCAGGTTGGTTCTCCCACGAGGAATCGCCAACAGCTGAGGCCAGCTCCGGCGCCCAACATATCCAAAGACCCACACGACTCAAAACCTCTGCATTGCCTGTCTTGCCACTTAACAATTACCCAGAATAAATAGGTTAGGGTACATCACAAGATAGAAAGGCAAAAACCCGTATAGCCTTTCTATGCCCTTATCTTTATTTTCTAAACATTCCAAAATAAAGGTTGTCTCATGTTTATTATTGAAATGGCTAAAGTATTTAAATACGAATTATATAGGGTGGCCGCAGTGGAGATGAAGTAAAGACGAGAAAATATGGTGAATAACTATATTAAATTTCCACAAAGATATTTCTTAAGAGGGAGCAGAGGACAAATTCCTAATCTTCGATTTGATTTTAGAGTGGTATATCCACTTTAAAGTTAAAATAAAATATTTATTATTTGGTTTTACTTATATTAATATTCAAGTCATTGATGTCCATCCAACTAATTACGTCTGTCAGTGCTATATTTACATCAGTGTTAAAAGTCGCTTTGTTTTGGCATTTTATTATAAGAGTTGTATCGTAAGCAAATTGTATACACTTATGATCAATAGCACGTGGGAGATTGTTAATGTAGAGTAGGAACAGTAACGGACCCAAGACGCTACCTTGCGGTAGTCCAGCATTAGCCGTTTTAAGGTGTGATCTAAAAATTTGTTTTTCTAATCTATTATTGTGTTTGTTTTTTGTTAATCTACTTATTTCCGTATACTGTGTCCGATTAAGTAGCTCGCTTATTGCAAATAATGGGATTCTTTTTATTGATGAGTACATAATAATAATAATAAACCTGAGTTTTTACTTTGACAGGAGATCTACGTCCTCGACACTCCCGACTCGGGCATCTTCCTCTGGTTGGGGAAGGATGTCGATCCTGAAGTCAAGAAGAACTACCACGACATCGCTCAGAAGACTCTGGAAATAAACGAATATCCAAGCTGGGTAAGATTTCTTCGAACCCGTCAATTGTTTCGAATTCGGGCTGGCCAATCGGAGCGCAGTTGTCATAGTAATGATTTGGCGGAATAATTTTCAAACAAATTAAATGACATTTTGTCTCTATTTCTGGTTATATACTCAATTGCCATAGCCTCGCCCGAATGTGTTAATTATTATTTTCCATTGTTACAGCTTCACGTGACCAGGATGTCAGAAGGATCGGAGAGCTCTACTTTCAAGCAGTACTTCCACTCTTGGGATATTGGCACCACCAACTTCAGTGCTGAATTAGGTATTTATTAAAAACCGCTTTAACAAAACTATTTAGTAGCATTAGAGTTTCTTGTGAAAGAAATCGTTCAGGGAAGTACTGCCACCTTACCTATTTCTGCCGCCAAGCAGTAATGTCAGCATTACTGTGTTCCGGTTTTAAAGGGTAAGGGTGCTGGTGAAATTACAGGCGCATGGGATTTGTCAACTTATGTCTCAGGGTGGCGGGCGCAGTGGCAGTGTCAGATCTTTCCGATTTCCTGACTTCAGACAAGTCCGTTGACTGGGTTGTCATAGACCGTTGTCGCGGACTTCTTCCGGTTGTCAAAAGTTTTGTCTCGGGTGCATATACAGTGCCCTCCCTATTTTCCAGGTAGGTACCGGAGCTGTAGGCACGCTCAGTTACCGCTGCGTATTGCACTACTAACGGTTATCATCGCTAAGCCGTTGACTCTAAAGTCTACAACCAAATCTCCTGTTTAGTGGCTGAACTGTATGCACGCTCATCTCCTACCGCCCAAGCGTCTCTCTACTACCCAGAAACCTACGCGCCTGGAAGGACCGGAGGATATCTAGCTCATCTTTTACTAGCTCTCTGGACTTTTTTTATAAATAATAGGCACACAGCCACAATCTCACCTGATGTTAAGCGATGACGGTACGCGTTTGTCTAAAAAGCCTAGCCTAGCCTTGAATAGTCCTAAATTGTACTTTTCGGGAAACACGTTTGGGGAATAACGTTCCCCTAACGAACAATAAAACGGTCTCGTGCATTCATAAATTATATAATTTTTTATTGAATTGTCATTCAATTATTATACTCCAACGTTGTTATCATTACTAATATAAAAATCGAACACTCAGTAAAAATTCCTTCGATCCGGCCGGATTCAAACCGACGTCTTCTAACATACCGTACCAAACGCTATACCAACTAAGCCACAGAACGAATCAGCGGACCTCACGAATTGTTCTGTGTGTTTGTTATCGTGTCTTTATATTTGGCTTTTCAACGACTTTTTAGCCGTAGCGCCATCTATGAGAAATCTTAAGTATTTCGTCACCCATTTAGATACCTTTACAGCTACAGCCCTGGCTAGAGATATCTCTATGTCGTTAAACTATAATTTATGATTTTACCAAACGGTTCAAACAATTTCCAATCGCTGACACGTGACAATCCACGTAACTAAAACATTATCGAAAATATTGGCAAGTGTGACACTCTCCTTGGCGACTCTCGTCCAGAGAGACTGGCACAGCGAGACGGTGATATTAGGGGGCGTATAAAGCCGCCACACCCGTATGTAGAATATTCCATTCCTTTTTCCGTACGCATCGGAAAGGAGGAAGCAAAGCGCTTAGTGCGAATGGGTGGTATATCAACGACATAAGGATGGAGTTTTCCGGAACTTCTAGTCGACCGAAGGAGGAACGGTGAGGGTGGAACTAAATTGAAAGTTCCTGCGCACACTCCCCGAAATGTATTTGATAGAAAACCGATAAGCAGGCTACTTTTCTACGATGGTCGAGATTTGGTAGCTCCGACTCCACAAGAGAATTGTTGTTAATAAGTCTCTTTGCTTTTTCCTCCACCGAGTCCAAAGCAACTAACTGGTAATGGGCAGAACCGTCCCAAATATGGCAGCAGTACTTACTCCTTACACGATCGAACCTGTGCTTTGCTCCAGCTAGTGCCGGAGATGCCGGTCGCAGTGTCTTATGACAATATCCGGACATAGCTGCCACTTAAAGGGTCTCGTAGCCTTATGCCCTTGACTAGACCCTTACTAAGACGTGCTAGCTGTGCACAGGATGAACCCCCGTCCACATGCTGCCGAAGTAGACAAACGTGTTCATGCCTACAGTTAATCACTAACCCAAACTACCGGTTGCCACATGGTTGTCACCGCTAAACCGTTGGCTTTAAAGTCCACTACCAAATCTCCTCTTTGGTGGCGGTGCTGTAGGTGTCTAACGGACAATCATGAACTTATCATTTCATATATTCAATGACATATGCCTATACAAAAGCCGTGGCAGTCTGATGGTTTGACCTACAGCCTCTCAAAGCAGATGGTCGAGCTTTGCCCAGTCTTGAGACACTTTGAACAGCAATTATATGTTGTCTTAATTATTCCAGATGCAGGCTATGCCTCAGGAGACGAGCCTGAAGCCGCAGCTTACAAGATCGGCAAAAGTGCCGCTGCCAGAGGATATATGCCAGACAAGGGAGAAGGGAACCTCGTTGTTACCAGGTAATTTCATCCTTTCCTTCCTGCCCAATTCGTTTCTTCTATAAAACTTTATAAGACGGTGCGTTACGTACCCTGTAGTACCATAGTGTAAGGGAATTGATCTATTGTAAATGTACACTTTTTTAACTTAACGATATTTTTTATGTTCGATATATAGATATTATTAACTGTTCCGTCTTTATTAAATGAACTGCATTCAAGGTAACATATCATTGTGTTTAAGCATACTAAATAAATATTTGATAGGCAAAAATAATATTGGATCCTCTTTTTAACCGACTTCAAAAAAGGAGGAGGTTCTCAATTCAACAGTAAGTTTTTTTGTTTTTTCTTGTATGTATGTAACGCGATAACTCCAGTATTTGTGAACCGATTTTCATGATTCTTTTTTTGTTGGAAAGGGAGTACTTCCATAGTAGTCCCATTTCATTTTGAAGGGAATCCACCTCTAAGGGTGTTTGTTTACGCATGAAGATTCATTTTTATAAATAGCGCCTAAATTTTCTTTAGGAGCAATTATTTTAGTGATTGATTTTGCTATGTCTCCAATTTAAGGCGTTTTTCTCTCAATATTCTTTGAGTAGTGAGAACCGATTTTTATTATCTTCAGTGTCAAGTCCTGTATAGTGGCGAATTTAAGTAAATTTTAAATATCAATAAAACTTAGCAAATAGACGTAATTCCACGTACTTTTGAGGTCGGTTTTTTTAATACTCTGTACAGAGATTATTTTATATAGGGTGTCAGATATTGGGTGCGCCCTCCATTCAGAAGGTTAGGTTAGGTTAGAATATGACAAAGCAGAAGCGAATTTGATTGCGTTTCCCAATATGGTTTCAGGTTTTTTTTAATGCTTATTAGTCTTAGTTTTGAGGCTCAACATGAAACTATCAAAGTTAATTCACACAAATCAAACATTAGCACACAACAGATTAAAATATATATTGATATAATTAATTATTTTATGTCTCAGAGAAAAAGTATCAATCATTAAAAAAGATGACTGCTTAGATTGCTTATAGCTTTTGTCAATTTAAAATGATCATTTAAACATGCCATATTAAGGCTCAATTTATATAGCAGCGGAACGAAGTGGAAGCGAATTTTTGTAATGACATTATACAATGCATAACTAATGAACTTTACGGTCAATTGTGTAATGTACAATCTAGATACAAACCAAAGTCTTCCACGGAATGTGCGAGCATTCTCTAGCATGCGCGAGAATTCCGCGGAAAATTTTGCAATGTATAATATAATATCGTTATAATATATATTATATATATATAGTATATTTAGGCTCAATTTATATCCGCCGCAATATAAATTGAGCCTAAATATACTTTAATAATATCAGTACAGGGTACTAAAAAAAAACCGACCTCAAAAGTACGTGGAATTACGTCTATTTCCTAAGTTTTATTGAAAAATCCGCTAATTCGCCACTATACGGAATTTGACACAGGAGATAATAAAAAACGGTTCTCGCTACTCAAAGTATATTGAGAGAGAAAAGCGCCTTGAATTGGAGAATAGCAAAACCAACCATAATAATTGCTCTTTAAGTAAAATTTAGGCGCTATTTATAAAAACGAATGTTCATGCGTGATCAGCCACTTTGATTAATTGGTTCAGACATTACTTTGCGGAAGTCCATGTTAATAACTTTAACTTAAAAAATGTAACTTAACTTTAAAAATTTAACTGCCTCCGTGGCCGAACGGTTACCATACCGGACTGCCACGCAGAGGTCCCAGGTTCGATTCCCGGGAGAAATATTTGTATGACCTACATTTATTTCTCTCGTGAGTTTGGGTGTAATTTGTGGTTGTCTATGTGTGTGTCCATGGCACCCGCGACACAGGGTTTCCCTAGTGCGGGGCTATGTTGAGTGTGTGCGTTGTTATTATTATTGTTATTATAAAAATGGAAGTAAATTAACTTGCTACTCCGCGAACCCAGCCGCGAACTAAGTCGTGCAAAATAGCTTCGCTTGTATTAAAAATTGTTTCATGCAGTTAATTTTCCCACCCCCCTCCGCATAAAATAAATAACACAAGCGCAACTACAGTCACTAACACCACCACCACGTGGTTCGCCTATCCACAAGCCATCCTCTGGGGCTGTTGATTGCTCGACACTCGGCCGAAGAAGTTCATTCATGGAGAGAGGAGATTATTTATTTTATGAATTTTATATATTTATAGCGGATGGAAAATTAACTGCATGAAAAAACATTAAACACAAGCGCAGCTATTCTGCACGATTTAACCTTCACTGGGTTCGCGGAGTAGCAAATTAATTTATTTTCATAAAATTGCGCTCGTCTGGTCTCACCATTAATGTTAAACTACATTCAGACAGTACATTAATTCTATTCTATTTTATTCTATATCTCCGACACCAGGTTCGCAGGAGACCAAGAGGACATAACGGAAAAAGTGACGCAAGAGTTGACGGTGTTCTACAACAGCGATGTTTACGTTCTCAAATACAAGTATACTGATGACAATGGTGAAGACGCTTGTGTAGTTTACGTTTGGATGGTTAGTACGATTCTCAACCTTAACTATAAAGGAATTATGTTCATCCCAATAACTCAAAGTGATATTAGTTTTAGGAACAGTAGAGTCATAACAGTTGCAGTGCCACTCAGAGCTTTAAATCGCAAAGATCTTAGGGGCACTGCCACTGCGCCCGTCATCATGAGACATAAGTTGACAAGTCCCATATGCCTGTAATTTCACCAGCACCCTTACCCTCCTAAACCGGAACGGCAGAAATAGAAGGTGGCAGTACTTCCCTGGACGTACTCATTCACAAGGAGCTCCTCCAGGAGGCCTTCCCTTCCCCTCATATCCCTCCATATTCACACGTAACACTCTTCTCGTCACATGACGTTCTTTCCTCCGCATGTCATGTCCTTACTACGCTAACCTATTACTCCTCATCTTTTCCGTCACTGGCGTCACTGCCACTAAATTACTATTCAACAAAAATTTGTAAAAATAATCTTTCAAATTCTTTTTAAATTTAAAATTCTTAGAACAATAACGCATAGAAAACTAGTCCGCACACGCTAAGTGAGGCAAATTAAGCACGCCAAAAGGGCCTACACGAGCGGGCGGGCCTTCAGTGCCCAAGGTCAACTGGCACCGCGAACAGATCAAGAAATTTAGCTAAAAATGACGGAATGTGCGATAAATGAGTGATAAAATACGTCAGACAAACATAAAATAGATACTAACATCACATTCCACTAGGAAGTAACGCGTTTCAGCTTGTATTTTTATATAAATATTCACTAAAACCGAAAATTAACCTACTACTAAAACTAGCCTACATGAATTTGATTTTTGCCTCACTTGTGACAGTTCGTCTGATATGAAACTATCATTCTATGCGTTATTATTCTAAGGTTCTAATATTAAAATGTATGTTGAATGCTTTACTTTAGAATGTATAATTTATATTCCCTTCTTAATGCTTATTTTAATACTAGAATAGCTTTATTTACATTTGTTATATTCAAATAAATTTATCTTTATTATATAACCAAAAAAACTCATATTACACAGGGTGCAAAATCAAAATGGTCCGACAAAAATGCAGCAATCCAATTTGGTCGGGACATAGAGCAGGAAGAGGAAGGCAGCGTGACCGTAATCAAAGTTCCACAAGGCAAGGAACCTAAGCATTTGCTGAGTGTTTTCAAAGGGAATTTGGTAGTTGTCATGGGAAGTAAGGACAACGACTATAACCCAGAGAATTCAAAGGGAACCTATGATGATGACAACATTAGATTGTTCAAGGTAAGACGCAAGCTCAATTCTTAGCCTTCAAACATTGACTTACAATTATATGGACGTCGGGTGCGCGCTAAAAAGTGTCCGAACTTATAGGGCGTTAAAATGGTATACAGAGCGTCATTCACGCTTTAGTCTTCGTTTGTTCGACTGACAGCGAAGCAAGCAAAATTAGACAGTACTACGATGACATTACAATTTAAATTCAACGTTTTAGCTTTTTCATATTCCTTTACATGTCACTACGTTTAAATAGGTTGACTTGGGACATTTTTTTCGTGGTTTTTGTAGTAGACCCGTCGTCCATTTATTTGTAAGTCAATGCCTTCAAATAGTATTTATAATAATGCAGACACTCAACATAGCCCCACACTAGAGAAAACCTGTGTCCCAGGTGCAATGGACACACACATAGACAACCACAAATTACACCCAACTCACGAGAGAAATAAATATAGGTCAACTTATGTCTCAGGGTGATGGGCGCAGTGGCAATGCCCCTCAGATCTTTGTGATTTAAAGCCTGAGTGGCACTGCAAGTGCTGTGGACAGGCGTCGCTTAACACCAAGGACCGACTATTAGTCCCGTCACTTGGTATTTCTGTGCACGCCCGCCGCCACGGAAGAAAAAAAAACAATGGAACAGAGACACTGAAATCTTATACTACTTTAGTTGATCATCATAGTTTCTAATTTAAAAAGAAATAACAAATTCTTGACCGTTAATTATTTTCAATTTACCCTGTTGGCATATCGTTGCACGTTCAATACCGTCGATACTTATTATTGCATAAGTTACGAAGTTTTGATTTTATATTGAAATTTCAATCACTGTGCTGCCATCTAGCGATCATATCATGTCTTGTTATACTATAGTACTACAGGCCATCCATTAATATTACGTAACAGTTATGTCGCGCTGCACACGGGATTATTTCAAGAAGATTTTTCTGTGATATTCAATAACAAGTTGATTGAATAACGCGCATACACTCATAGCCCCGCACAAGGGAAACCCTGTGCCATTACACCCAAACTCACCAGAGAAATAAATGTAGGCCATACAACTATTTCTCCCGGCCCGGGAATCGAATTACAGTTAATATTGTAATGATTGCAACAATACTTGTCCTAAGAATAAATTAAAATAATGAAACACAAACCTATATTTAAATATTATTATTAACAATCTACGATGAAAAAACAGACGGAACGTCACATCTTAATGTCGTCATACAAGCTACATACAAAATATTGTTTTTGCAACAGATCCAGATTCAGATTCAGATTCATTTATTTCTCAAATATAACATTACAATATGAATTGCACTACATGTCAAAGTATAAGAAATTATATTGAGATCATCAGACAAAAAGGAAAATTATAAAAGCACACAATAATTAGAAAATTAACAATTCATTATATAATATTGTTGTCATTAAATTACATATCAGATATCATTCTCCATCAAGGATGGTCATAAATTGATAATTATTATACAAGAGCATGTTAATGCGGTAAAAATTAGAATAAAAATATAAAAATAGAAAATACTGAATTCACAATGAACGGACAGAACCTATCTCATCACTAAACATTAACAATGAACATACCTGCAGCTCGATTTTGATTGCCTCTCCCGATCGCAAACTGTGTCTTTTCGAGTCGAGGCGCATAATTGCGATTCACCACTGGCCGATCCGAAACTTTGACATTTGTAATCGGAACAATACTTGATTTAACTCACAAATTAGAAAGATATAGTAGGAATCAGGTTCATCTTCTCGCTCAGAAACCCGTCTGATTTCGAGACTACCCGATCCAGCATGCTGGTATTATTGGGATACCGAAAATTAATTTCAGGTTCTTGTTCAGTGTGTGCATAATGAGTTGCTTGAGCATTGACTTACAATTATATGGACGTCGGGTCCGCGCTAAAAAGTATCCGAACTTATAGGGCGTTAAAATCGTATACCGAGCGTCATTCACGCTTTAGTCTTCGTTTGTTCGACTGACAGCGAAGCAAGCAAAATTAGACAGTACTGCGATGACATTACAATTTAAATTCAACGTTTTAGCTTTTTCATATTCCTTTACATGTCACTACGTTTAAATAGGTTGACTTGGGACATTTTTTTCGTGATTTTTGTATTAGACCCGTCGTCCATTTATTTGTAAGTCAATGTGCTTGAGTTAAAAAAAAATTGAATTAAGTACTATATTATGACGCATTTACACCAAGTCATCAGGCGACCTTCGCGTGCTCACCGAAGGCGGCAAGCTATCCGGTGTAAATAGTGAGTCGTCTGACGAACGATACCACAAACACCCAGACCCGAGACAATATAGAAATGTTAGTTTTCTACACTGACCCGACCAGAGATCGAACCCGGAACCTCAGAGATGGCGACACCATGAAAACCGGTATGCAAGCCACTCGAACACGGAGGCCGTCGAAATAAATCTGGAGATACTCCACTCAAAGAAGTGACTACACTTATAAGCGAGAATTCGCCTTGACCCTGTCACCTAAGTAATAGTAGTTGCGATGTTATAAAATCTAGTCACATAGTTATTTTTGTACGAATAAATTAAAACAATGAAACCAAACAATATTTAAAGATTATTTGTTAACAATCCATGACAACAAACTCATACGAAGTCCAAAGAAACGCAACAGAACACAAAACTAAAGAGACAGAATAGAAGTGTCCGTGATTGGCCAAGTACTGTTTATATTTTAACCAATCAGGAGGTAGTTGGGTTAGAGTCATATTTGATATTTTAATAAGCGAAAATACGACGTTCGTTTTTTGACACTCAGAATATTCGTGTTTTCAGGTGGAAGGTACAGAAATAGGAGTAGACATGCGAGCAATTCAGGTGCCAGAAAAAGCTGACGTTCTAGAAGCCGATGACGTCTTTGTTCTCGAGACTAAAGACGTCGTTTATGTGAGAAATGGAAAGGTAAGAATCTAGCAAACATTTGATACTGAGGGGCCTCTCTCATTTTCAGGAAATCAGGCTGTGCTGGGTGGTTTTTCTCTCTGCCAGTCTCACAGACTCACAAGACTGGGTCAGATTTACAATTTTACATTTACGCACACTAATATTAAAATGATCTCAAAAATCTAAGTGTTTCGTTGGTGTAAAGTGTCGCGGAAACACTATCTTGTAGCATAGTTTTCGGTCATTTTATTTGCTGAATAGAATGCTGCTGAAACTCTATGTTGTAGTCGTCTATTCTTGGATCATTCGCCAGCTGAGTGGAATGTTCAAAGGTTGTTTGAACAAAATCTGACCTGTATATTATTGTAAGTTTCCAGACTTTTCCAGTTAAGATTTAATAAGTTTCAGAGGTCACATTGATGAGGGGCTGCGCAGGCCCTAAACGATGCTAGCCTAAAGCTCGAGAAAATTATTCACATTTCAGGAATCAGACCCAAAAGAGCAGGAAATAGCTTTGAACTTCGTGAAGCTGGTGGTGGGGGACACCAAAGAAGTGACTGTCCTGGAGCAAGGAGATGAGCCCGACGAATTCTGGGAAGCTTTGGGTAAATCTTTCGACTAAATTACCTACTTGAATCCGAGCTAGGGGTGTCCACTTAGAAAATACGTCGATGTCATTATTCGATGTGAAACATCGATGTTTTTCGATGCATCGCTTAAAAACGTCGATGTTTCTTCAACATCGAATACTTTTTGTTTTTCTTAGCGTAACAGTGAACGCTGAGTAACACTATAAGTACCAATAGAGTGGTGCTGTCGCTGTAGTGACGTGTTTAATTTTACGATACTTTTAAGTTAGTTTAAAGAAGCCAGGAACTTAAAAAAAATAGTATTGCATCGGTAAGACATACATTTTTAGGTGAAAAAAACTAAGGTAAACTGTCTAAAATAGATAAATAAGTTCGATACATATTCAATTATTCATTAACAGAAGAATAGAATAAGCTAGGATTATAAATACAACTAAAACAAATACTAAATGACTTGCAATATCAAATTGAAACACAGAGGCACGCCAGGTTTAGAGTTTTCTATGATTCGATGTTTTTATTCGAAAATATCGATGCATCGAATAGAATTTGTTCTTGTCAAAACGTCGAATCAATCCGATGTATCGTACGATAAAGATCGAATGAATTCGATACATCGATGTTCAACGAATATCCCTAATCCGAGACAAGAGAACGCATCCTATATGTTTAATAATTTATCCAGGACCCCGATTCAGAACCCTTCGGTATTTTAACCGAATCGTTGGATTGGATATCGTTCTCGAATCGAAGGGCGTTTTCCGAGATATTCAGAACATTCGAGTAAACGTTCGAGTCGGATACGGATACGGGGGTCTATTCTCGATCTCCGTTCGCCATCCGTCCGAAACAATTACTGCCAAATAAGCAATACTTGACCAAATGAAACGACGCGTGATGCGAATGAAGCTTCATACTGGATACTTGTCTTTTAATTTTGTCGAATATTACTTATTAGACAGTAATTGTTTCAGACGGATGTCGGACGGAGATCGAAAGTAGCCCCCACGATAATCATTATCCAACAGCCTAAAATATATGAATGCATTAATTAGTCTTGCATTAAAATAACTTAACTTGAACAAAATCCAGACTTTATTTAAAATACTAAGAGATTTCCTTAAAACATTCTTGCCTTGTAAACAATAGGACGTTCGGTAACTCGCATTCGATAACTGCGTTCTGAATAACGTTTGTAGCCTTTGCCGTTCGAGAAGTTCGAGTAATCGTACGGGTGTGACGTCATTCGATTCGGTTTCGAATACGACAGTTTGACGTTCAAATCAAATCAAATCAAATCAAATCATTTATTGTGTACGCACGTCTATAAGGTCTTATTTAACATTGTTGTGTCAGTACGTATTGCCAATTTTACGGCATACAATTTTCATAATTAAATTAATTTAACATTATACTACTACATTTTAATTACAAAATGTCAAATCTTAATTTTAATTTTAATTCTTAATTATATTTATGTCATTATTTTGTGGTGGTTAACTATTATTCTATGTTCTTGTCATTTAAGCAATCGCTGACTTTATAATACGCTTTCCTAGCCAATTAATTAAATAATCGGTTTTTAAAATTGGCATTGTCGTTAGTCTCAAGTATATAATTAGGCAGCTTATTGTATAGTTTATAGTTATTCGATTCGGGTGTTGTGATTAAAAATGAAAAGAAATCGTACTATATCAAATCGAATTGGTCAACAAATTAGTTATCGTAAGGTTCTGAATCGACCCCCAGGAGGCGCCCCAGAGGAAAAAGAGGACGCCTCAGACTGGCGATCGAGTGCGTCGCGCCGCGTGACAACGCCGGCATCTCTAACCGCTGTCACTGTCACCATGAGAGGCAAGATTTTGTTCGAAGAACTTCCGCCCAAGTTCACGCAGGAGGTAGGTTCAAATCCTATGACTTTTTTATAGAAAAGACCGACCTCAAAAGTTCCTGGAATTACATCTATTTGGGTAACCTATCACAAACTCGAAAATTTTTTTCCGAAATATCGTTTGTTCGAATTGTCTTTACACCGAAAACCGAATTATAATGAAACAGTTGTTCTTTCAAGATATGTTGAATGTTTATGATATGACACGATTAGGTTCGGTTAGGTTAGATTAAGTTAGGTTTAAAAGAAAAAACATTTTCCTCTCAAAATTACTTTCGAGATTATGAAAATTCGACCAAACGTTATTTCTGCAAAATGTCATTTCGGATTGCTAATAGGTAACCATCTATTTGCCAAGTGAAATCGGTTACCGGAAAGTGCCCCATACCGGATACATTGTTTTTTGTATCCTGTTAACAACAACTGTAGCACAAGCTCAATGACCTCTGGTAAATTTGTAGTACCAAAAGTTAATAATTACTATGGAGATGGAACTCTAAAGAAACGTATTCCATACTTACTAAACAGTTTGCCTGAGGTTATTAGATTTGAACCTAAGAAAAGTAAATTTAAACATCTTTTGTTTTAGCGTTTGTTATCAAACTTAGGGTCGTATTCTAGAACTCTACTCAATGCTCAAGTCAGGATTTGAGTATGGTTTAAAGCACTCGAAATCATACTCAAGTCCCTGCCATTAGGGTCGTATTTCCAGTGCTTGTGTTTCCAGTGCAATCCCGACTTGAGCATTGAGTAGAGTTCTAGAGTTCAAGTCATTGTCGAAATTCTCAGTATTTTTGTTAGAGATCCTTGTATCGGATTTTGCGGCATTCTGCGCCGCTAGTCAGATCTAGTGAGAGATTTTAGAACCTTCTTCACCGCAGCCGCAGATTCTTTCTTTTTGAAATGACTTTCAAGAAAATTCAAGTCATTTACGTGTGTATAATTATTTCCAGGATTTATCCGACGATGGAGCGTACATACTGGACAAAGGCGAAGAACTTTACTTGTGGCAGGGAAAGAATATTCCTAAGAGGGTTAAGGATGCCCGGACCGAAATTATTCAGGTTAGATTTTTTTAAATAATAATAATTATATTTATTAATAATAAACATTGACTTACAATTATATGGACGTCGGGTCAGCGCTAAAAAGTGTCCGAACTTATAGGGCGTTAAAATCGTATACAGAGCGTCATTCACGCTTTAGTCTTCGTTTGTTCGACTGACAGCGAAGCAAGCAAAATTAGACAGTACTGCGATGACATTACAATTTAAATTCAACGTTTTAGCTTTTTCATATTCCTTTACATGTCACTACGTTTAAATAGGTTGACTTGGGATTTTTTCGTGGTTTTTGTATTAGACCCGTCGTCCATTTATTTGTAAGTCAATGATAATAAATAATAATATATATTTGTCATCCAAACCCTTATTTTACGTAGTCTGTCTAGAATCGAAATTTGGTGTTGCTTTGATCATTCACAATATGATATAGTTATATACTAAATGCATTATACAACATTAAAACCCTTTTACAATCACAATTTACTCCTACAGCTGTAATTATATTCACACTAGCTCATGCACTTACATATCAAATAGGTTATTTTTAACCGATTTCAAAAAAGTAGGAGGTTCTCAATTGTTTCTTTTTTGTATATAATGTTACGCGATAACTCCGGTATTTGTGAACCGATTTTCATGATTCTTTTTTTGTTGGAAAGGGTACTTACGTAAGTACTTCCATAGTGGTCCCTTTAAGGGTGGCTGTTCACGCATGAAGATTCATTTTTATAAAAGGCGCCTAACTTTAATTTAGGAGCAATTATTTTAATGGTTGATTTTGCTATTTCTCCAATTCAAGGCGTTTTTCTCTCAATATACTTTGAGTAGTGAGAACCTATTTTTATTATCTCCAGTGTCAAGTCCTGTATAGTGGCGAACTAGGGGATATTTCAATAAAACTTAGCAAATAGACTTAATTGGTGCACTATTTACACTTTACTATGTATATTATTATTCTCAACGTACAACTTTACACATAGTTGTTATATTTTTGCTTTCAAATACATAACAAATAACTTTATCCCTATCGTTGGTCATGGCTAGAGATGGGTCATGGATAAATGTCATTGGGATAAATACTCAGGATAAATATCCATGTTTACTCGATATTTATCCAAAAACGTGGATAAATATTTTTAATCGAGGTTTACTATTTAGTAAAACAAAGTATATTTTTAAAATACCTTGTGTACCTACACAATTATAAGCATTTATTTTCTATATCATGTGTTTTAATTAACATATTTTGTGTGCGAAATGTGAAAGAGAATCCTTAGGCTATTTCAAGTCCTAACATGGCTTTATTTAGTACGCAGTAGACCCCAAGACCATATAGTTGGGTCGCACTTTATTAACGCAGAATAGGTCAGCTCAAGGGTTACAGATAATTTGGTAACTTTCTGTCAATCGAATTTTTTATGCCACTCGACTCGAAAAACGTAGGTAGAATAGTATTATTACATAAAAGAATGGCATAAACGTAATTATTTAATAAAAAATGAATTCTAATGAATTTTATTATAAAAAACACAAAAATATAATTATCCATGTTTTAGGATAAATACTCAGTAAAAACGGAATTGGATATTTATCCTAAGACGGATATTTATCGGGTAAAACCCATCTCTAGTCATGACTGAAAACCATCGCCTCAGTAAACTTTGGCATACGTTGAGTCAGCGTCGTTTCACAGCTATGACAATGTTGTGTTTTTTTCTTTTATGCATAATCTGTGTTTGTGTTATATCAGTGAATAAAGTGTTTATCTATTTATCGTTGGGAGGTGTGGATTGTTACTTTCAAAATGAAAGAATGTTCTTCCCTTAGGGTCGTATTCTAGAACTCTACTCAATGCTTAAGTCAGGACTTGAGTATGATTCAAAGCACTAGAAATCAGACTCAAGTCCCTGCCATTAGGGTCGTATTTCCAGTGCTTGTGTTTCAATTGCAATCCTGATTTGAGCATTGAGTAAAGTTCTAGAATACGACCCTTAGAGTCGACACCACCACGGCTCGTATTAAAATTTAACTAATACAGTTCTCGATCCAAGCTGGCTTTCATTCGGAATTTATTTTTTTACAAACAAAATTAATAAGCCATTTGTAAAATGTGTATCGTATACTATAAATGTTCTATTTAGTTTAGTTGATGTAAAAAAAATCATTGATATATATGTGAAGTATTTGAATGCAGCGGTTTTCTTGTTAAATTTCGAGGAAAGTGTCTTTTTTTCTCTCGTGAATCGTGTTTTTTTTTCTATCGTGTAATCCTCAATTGTACTTATATATTTTTTTCCAAAATTATTGATTCAACTGTTTCACTGTCATGCCGAATCAACTAAAGAAAGGCATTTGAGGTTGTATCGACCCACAAAATTGTAATAATGTAGGAAATTAGGTGGGTACGAAATACTTTCATAAGATTTCTCATAGATGGCGCTACGGCTAAGTCGTTGAAAAACCAAATACAAAGATACGACAAAGCACATAGAAAAATTCGTGAGGTCCGCTGGTTCGTTCCGTGGCTTAGTTGGTATAGCGTCTGCCACGGTATGCTAGAAGACGTCGGTTCGAATCCGGCCGGATCGAAGGAATTTTTTTCTGAGTGTTCGATCTTTGTATTAATAATTATAACAAAGTAAGAAGTATCTTACGAATTTTTATCGTCAAGCAGTAATGTGAGCATTACTGCTTTCCGGTCTTGAAGGCTAAGTGTGCTGGTGAAATTACAAGGACTTGTCAACTTATGTGTCAGGGTGACAAGCGCAGTAGCCGTGCCCCTCAGATTTTTGCGATTTAAACATTGACTTACAATTATATGGACGTCGGGTCCGCGCTAAAAAGTGTCCGAACTTATAGGGCGTTAAAATCGTATACAGAGGGTCATTCACGCTTTAGTCTTCGTTTGTTCGACTGACAGCGAAGCAAGCAAAATTAGACAGTACTGCGATGACATTACAATTGAAATCCAACGTTTTAGCTTTTTCATATTCCTTTACATGTCACTACGTTTAAATAGGTTGACTTGGGACATTTTTTTCGTGGTTTTTGTATTACACCCGTCGTCCATTTATTTGTAAGTCAATGGATTTAAAGCTCTGAGTGGCACTGCACTGTTATGGACAGGCGTATAGGTTACCACCAGGCGCACGACTTGTTCGTCCCGTCAGTTGATATTGCAAAAAAATTGTTATTTTGTTTCTACAACTATGGATTCGGAGTCGCGAAGTAAATTATTATTATTATACCCCTGACAGACCCTGGTCTCTCCCATGACCAAAAAGAAAAAAAAAACTCTTAATATTAGACGGTATTCCACAGCGAACAACGAGAGCCGTATTGAGCAAAATCTTATTATTCATTCGCATTCAATTGTAATTATATTCTACCTTTTTGTCACAGGAATACATAAAAGACGACGGCCTGGATCGCACAGCAGACACTGCTCTGGTGGTGATGGTAAAGCAAGGCAAAGAACCCAAGGTGTTCAGAAACAAATTCCCCAGTTGGGACAATGATATGTGGAACGTGAGTTGTCTTTATTAGATTGCCCCTTGTACCTTCCTGTTCTTATATTATAAATGCGAAAGCAACTCTTGTCTATTACGTGAACACGGTGTGAAAGGGCTCTTACACATAAATACGATACGAAGTCGCGTCGTGCTATGACGCGGCATCGATGCGACGACGTATCGTGGAAATCTATGACGAGCTACGTACAAATTCACGACACAACATCGCAACGTGACACGACGCATGGCACGACGTCGTATCGTAGAAACTCACGGTGCGCTCCCCAGTGCCGCATTAATTCGTTATTCAATATTCAAAGATGACTTTGTATTCTTCTGATGTTTTGTCCCATAGTATAAGGCGCTCCTCGACTAGGGTTATTCAATAATCAACCTGTCATCTTTGAATATTGAGAACACCTGGACTCAATACCTCGCGTCTCTCAGCTGAGTCTTGTTATTGCGAAACACCCAATTGTTACCGTAATGATTTGGCAGAATAGTTTTCAAACAAATTAAATTACATTTCGTCTCGATTTCTGGTTATATTCTCGATACATATGATCAATTGCGATGAAAAAAACTCGAATCAAAGCAAAAAATCGTGCATCCCTATCATGTGACCTTTTAAAAATATGAGCTTTCGCTTTTCACAGCAGCAGTTCATTTATTAGTCACAAATCAGTTTTGCGAATTGAATGATATGTCATTGCTTCTCAATTGTAGCAATTTATTTCCTCTATAAAACGAATTATTCATGAAAATTGTTTTTTTTACTCCCAGAATCAAACTTCCTACGAGGATATGAAGAATAATACCAAAGCCGCTAATTCTAAGTGAAGACGTTAAATAATAACAAAACTTTCTAATTATAAAACAATATATATTTACAGAAAAAAATCTATTCCTAACAAGTTTTGTATCACAATTTTCTATACTTTTATGTAACATTTTTTTTACATTAAAGAAATTATGTTAAATCGTGTTCTTTTTATTAAATTATGCCAATTGAAAAAAGACACTCATAAACATCACGACGAGATCGAACACGAGCAAAGCCGAATTTTCAATATTTGTGCTCCATGGACCCCTAAAGCGCACCCCGGACACTACATACAACGATCGAAAGTTATTTACCAACTACTACATACAGCAAGGCGCTATCTGCACACGCGCAAATGTTGCGTGAAGTGGCAGGGTTACCCATCATTTTCTCGTACATGGTCAGAGGGGCAACATAAATATGTTATCTATAATTGTATTAATAGAATCCTAACAATTACACATGTTCATTGGATATTTATATCCATATCATATTTTTCATTAATTCACTAAATGGAATAATTAGGCTAAATATTCACTACGTAATATTTATCGGCAATACAAATTGAAAATTCGAGAACCCTTGTCTACTAGCTCACGAAGTTATAGCGGCTCATTATATTGATATATTAACTCTGCATTAATTAAATTAAGAAAACAATAACTTAAGAGTCCCAGACATAAGTATTTTTTTACTTACTTCGTTTCATCTTTCGGAAAATGCAAGAAACCTCTCTCTTTATCCCGTTTAGAACAGCCGTACACAGCACAATTCACGACCATTATAATATTAACGCACACACTCAACATAGCCCCGAAGTAGGGTAAGCTTTCGAGAGAAATAAACGTAGGCCATACAAATATTTCTCCCGGCCCGGGAATCGAACCTGGGACCTCTGCGTGGCAGTCCGGCATGGTAACCATTCGGCCACGGAGGCAGTTTCATATTATATTTAGTAACGTACAGTGGTGTTATATATTAACGTACAAGTTTCGTAATGCATAAATGAAAACTATGTTCAAATATCAAAGCCGTCTTAGGGTCGTATTCTAGAACTCTACTCAATCCTCAAGTTAGGATTTGAGTATGGTTTAAAGCACTCGAAATCACACTCAAGTCCCTGCCATTAGGGTCGTATTTCCAGTGCAATCCTGACTTGAGCATTGAGTAGAGTTCTAGAAGACGACCCTAAGTGCGAAAACGGCTTGCCGACAGCCTTGTTGCCGTTCAATCAATGTGACCTTCAATGTGCGGGGCGTGGTGCGGTATCTAAAGCTAGGAAGGGGCGGAGAGTGTCCGAGTAGAAGATCCGTGTAATGAACGCCGGGTGACCGTAGCGACCTCACCTAACACACTATTCATAATGTAATTAAGTACAGTTTAATTGCAAACAATATAAACCAGTAAAAGTTGAACCTAGATTTTTATCTTTTCGGCAAGGGTTCGTGGGCTCTTTGACATTTTGAGAGGGGTCCAGAAATCAAATTTAATCTGATGACATCATGATGAATCCTGCACGTCGTAGAAGGTTCACAACCCTTGGAAAACGTGTGACGTTCCCAACCCGCATAGGGCAGACTTAGGCCTAAACCATCGCCTGAGTAGGGACCCTTGCGCAACAGTGGGACGTACAAATGAGTTGATGATTGTTATCATATTGGTAATTGTTAGAACACAGAAACACACTGATTGATAATTTGCACAAGATTCTTGTTTTCCAAAGCAGCAGCGACACGTTCCTGAAACAAATTTCAATATGTTAACTTAGTTGGGATGCATGTGTTGGAGAATCCTACCAGTGCTCATGGGTGCCAAACATGAGGCTTGACTAAGTCTCTCAGCCAAAGACTAAAGGTGCGCCTTAAGATGGGGAGAGTTTCTCGTCTCGAAGTTACTATTATCGAAAGAATATAACTTTCCTCGTCTAAACATTCGCGATTATAGCCCTTCCACGTGAGCCATAATCGTCTCGCTTTTGAATATTGAACGTCTCCGTGTAAACAGAACTTGAAAGCAAAAATCGTATTTCGAGTTTTTGTGCCAGTCGTTTCTACCATGCGTGCAGTGCGTGAGTGTGTTTTTATTATTACTGCTTATCTAAGACAATAATTAATGAAACGAGAGCGAAAAAAAATTGTGGGTTCAAAAATGTTATAAAATTAAAAAAATAATTAAAAATGTACATTTCTATACAGTGCAATGAACTTAATATTATCAGCAGTTCCAAATTTCAATGATTTTTGCGTCATTTTGATATATCCATATTCCAATAGGGTGTTCATTCATGTTTTAGCCAGCCATATTGTTTTTAACTTTTTAATTTTTACAGAAAATGTGGCCGCTTATGGATGACCAAAACTACTAATATTATTTCATAATACAAATTAATATACTTATTTGATATGCCACTTCATAATAGGTTTCATTGTTGATATATATACTTTTTGTATTATTACAGTAGAGGCATATGTTAATTTTATTTAAGCAAAATTTAAAAAAGTTAATAGACTAGACACTGCAGCGTCGATGACACGGGGCTAGTTTACAAGCTGCTAGTCGGCGAGTT